CTCTTACAGTTTCTTTTAAATTTATACACCAGTTTCTAGCCTCTTACAGTTTCTTTTAAATTTATACACCAGTTTCTAGCCTCTTACAGTTTCTTTTAAATTTATACACCAGTTTCTAGCCTCTTACAGTTTCTTTTAAATTTATACACCAGTTTCTAGCCTCTTACAGTTTCTTTTAAATTTATACACCGATTTCTGACCTTTAAAAGACACAATTTCTGGTTGTTTCAGACTTGAGTTTTTTGCTTTTGCAGAAAACCGGAGCCCTGATTTTGCAAATGCTTGCATGCATGAGCAGAACCTCTGACCTCCATGGGACTGTCCACATGGCTAGAAGTTATTTTTAGGGTATTTGAAGATTCAGTCGGGGGCACGGATGCATCCCCACATCAATGCGCCGTTCGGTTGACTTCAGTTAGGATTCTGCAGGGATCCACACTACATATGCTGATGTAGAAGTGAGGCCTATGTTTTCTAAAACCCTAAAGTCAATAGTTTTATTAATTTAGTTTTGGTGAAAAAAAGGCTTTTGTTTTGCAGGGTCTTTTCTGCTTTGATTGGTATTTAAACATGGCTCTGCGGTACCTACAATCTGCGTGTCCTGACTCTGCTAGTGCACAAGAGCCAGAAAACCTCTGGCTCCATAGTCTGGCTCAGTATATTCTTCAAAGCAGGAAAGCCTCACCACTTTTTTTGCTTCATTAAGGATCAAAGACGCTTCATTAATGATCCATTAAATAAATGAGACGTTCAGGATTTTGTTGGCTGTAATAACACATATTAAGATAGAAGCAGAGGACTTATTTAAAATAATGCATTTTTAAAGTAATGTGGTCTCTCTGCCCAAGCATCTTAATAATTCATCCCATTAAAAATTCATAATCTTGACAGCATTGTTTTGGGGTTGTTCTTTTTTTGCTTATACAGCTGCTGTCACTGTTAGCCTCGGACTCTCTCGTTAGTTAATTTTAAACCTTGTGTACAGAATGTATGTGGGGAAACTGTTTGTTTTTCATATGAAACGTGTCTCGGTCTTGAAACGTGCAGTTATTGGGCTCATTTTTTCTCAATGTTACGAGAATGAACAAATGACTTGGTAAGTGGATGGAGTGTGTTAATCTATTCTGAAGCATTGCTCTGTAATGTCACACGTGCTCATTTAATGCTCTGTTGTGAAGGGGGAGCAGTTCCCCACAGAGACAAGGAGCTGGGAATACAACTTGTCATCAACTGTCGTATTCGGGATTTAGTCCGTAAGGGCCTTTGGTAACGTGTAAAGTCAGCTGTAATCTCGTTATGCACAAAGACCAGCATTAAAGCGTTTGCGAGAGCACTAATCAGCCCATTTCAAAGAGGAGAGGATGGGTGTTTTTTGGTTGAATCCAGTAATTTTGAATAAGGAGATTCAGAATATGTTATAAATCTGCTTGTCCTCCAAAAAGGAAGGTGAGCCGCCCTAAAATTACTGGTTTGCCTTTTAGAGGCTCCATATAGCACATTGTCATTGCATGTTCCTCCTTCATTTGGAGTTATTTATGACATCGAATAATGTGGCTGAAAGGAAGAAATAGCGGTAACACGACTTTTAAATGCATTCTGTGCCGGGCGCAACTCGCCTTGGAGCCGCTGAGAACATTTGAACGCCCTATGATCCTCTTCAGATGTTTGTCACAGTGGTAGTTACAGGCCCTGCTTTGAGATAAGAGCCTCCTGGTACTGAATAAGCACGTCGTTCTTGCTCCAAATAATTTAGACTAATGCTCTGTCTTTGTGGGAGGGAAAGATTTTTGGGTATTTAAAGATATAACTAAAGGTGCAAATTCAAGCCATCATGGCTACCTTCCCCTTTGCTGGCCCATGTGGACCGCTGTACTCCAGTAGAAAAGTGTTTTGTTTTGGTTTTTTCCCAGTGTAGCTTATCTTGCCCAGGAAATAGCTTGTTCCACTAAAAATAAAAAGAGAATAGTGGGATATCAGAGTAAGGGTGATCACCTGGAAAAAGTATGACTATAACTGGTAAAGCTTTCTCCAGGGGGACAAGGCCCAAACTGTTTCCCTCTCACCTCTTATTTTGCCTCAATCACAAAGGTAAGATCACGCATGGAGAAAAGTGCCGGCAAAGCTTGGCAGCTTCACGAAGTATTAGTTTGTGCTTTGTGGGATTATATCCGTGTAATTCCACTATTTGTACATTGCAGCGTATAACATATGTTCTGACATGCAGATCAAATGATGTCACTTCGAAAAAAAAACAACCCCCTTTGTCAGCAGGAGAAAATCTCACTGGTCTCATAGTTGCCGTCTACTTAATCTGCCTGAATTTGTCACGTCTACGTAGGACTCTGTTTGAAAGATCCTGCGATGAAGTCAGCAGAGCCCCGCACGGTGCAGGGGTCTGTCGCTGCATGTTATCGAATCCGGGCCTTTGTCTTGAGTGCATGCTTAGCCCTGCATTTTTCCAAGTGAGGCCTGGCGTTTCCTACCTTTAGCAACTTGTGTTATATTTCCTGGAGGGGATTTACATGCCAGCGTTGAAGTCTTGAAGAGAGGCTGCTTCTGAGTTTCCCTTCCCTTTTTTCCATTCCCAAGCCCTCCAAATAAGAAGAGGCTGCAGCGAGGTAGGAGGAAATGATGGCAGCAATGAACAGTAACATGCAATGAGTTATGTAGTTCCTTGTCAGCAAGGGCAAGAAGGTTGTACTTGAAATGCTTGGTTTGATGCCAGACTGAGCTACTGCAAATTGGGATCTGTCGTGAATGCAGAGTAAAAATGTGCTTTTTCTCACCTTTCACAAGAGAGAGTGCCTGCCCCCTGTGAGCCGGCCTACTGAAGAGAACAGCCGTCTGATATTGTTTCTTTATTTCAGGTGTACCGATGGGCTGACCACTCCAATCTGGTGCTTCAAAGCCTGAATGAGCAGAGACACCGCGGCCTCTTCTGTGATATTGTTCTAGTAGTGGAAGAGCAGAGAGTTCCTGCCCACCGCAATCTCCTGGCCGTTTGCAGCGACTACTTCAACTCTATGTTCACCATTGGCATGCGGGAGGCCTATCAGAAAGAGGTCGAACTGTTTGGAGCCTCTTACATTGGTCTCAAAGCCGTGGTGGATTTTCTGTACGGCAGCGAGCTGTCCTTAGATGGCGGGAATATTGACTACGTGCTGGAGACGGCCCATCTGCTGCAGATCTGGAAAGTGGTTGACTTCTGTTGCGAGTATCTCGAGAACGAAGTCAGCGAGGAGAACTATCTGTACCTGCAGGAGCTGGCTTCTATCTACAACCTGAAACGCCTGGACTCCTACATTGACTCGTTCATCCTGCAAAACTTTGGCACGCTGTCTTTCACACCAGACTTCTTGCAGAACATTTCCATCCAAAAACTCTGCCAGTACCTGGACAGCAGCAATGTGCAGCAGGAGTGCGAGCACGACTTGCTGCAGGCTGCCTTGCAGTGGCTGACACAGTACCCAGAAAGGGAAAATGAGGCTTATCAAGTCCTGGACAATATCCATTTCCCGTTGATACCCAAGAGTGACCTCCTTCACCGAGTCAAGCCGGCTGTCTGCTCTCTTCTCCCAAAGGAAGCCAACTGTGAGGGGTTCATAGAAGAAGCAGTGAACTACCACAATAATGTCACGGCCCAGCCGGTGCTTCAGAACAAGCGGACAGCTCTGCGTACCAATGAAGAGAGGCTGCTGTTTGTGGGTGGCGAGGTTTCAGAGCGGTGCCTGGAGCTGAGTGACGATACTTGTTTCTTGGACACCAAAAAGGGGCAGTGGGTAGCAGAAACACCGCTCCCAGCCAGGCGAAGTCATCACTGTGTTGCAGTGCTGGGAGGTTTCATCTTCATAGCTGGAGGCAGCTTCTCCAGAGACAACGGAGGGGATGCAGCTTCAAATCTTCTATATAGGTATGATCCCCGCTGTAACCAGTGGATAAAGGTGAGACTTGAGCTGTATTACATCTTTTTCAAAGTCCTTAATGGTTATTTGCTTCCCTCTTTGGTGGTGGAAAGAGAGAATGCTTATCATGCTTACTTGCATACGATGACCTATTTATGCTTAAAAATTTAAAGCAGTCAACTATATGTAGGTACCTGGGCCATGTCTTTAAATGCTTGATTGCACAAGTGATGAAAAACTATGCCATTTGTAAAAATATCAGTGTTGAGGAGCCAGATTCTCAACTCCTATTGGGAGCTAGGCCACCATTCTGAAAATCCAACGTGGTGCCTGTCTTGAGCTTTGAGTGACTAAATACTTTGGTCGAAAATACAGTGCAAAAAGCAACATCTATGAGGCTAATTTGCCTCCTTCCAAGTCGGAGCCCCAGTAGGACAGGACATGTGTAATGTTCAGCTGACGTTACACTGTGGACTGATCTTCTGTCTTTGGGTGCCTATACATGAGCAGTGAGGCTGCTCCAATGCTCTGTAATTACAGCGCAGTGGAGCAGCCTTAATTAAACGAGTCTGCTGGAGCGGGGTAATTACCATGCTCCAGCAGATGCTAGCGTCTTGTGTATCAGCTTACCTGCGCTTTAAAATGGTGGCAGGGACACTTTAACTAAAGCTCATTGGACAAGCTTTAGTTAAAGCACCCCCGCTGCCATTTTTAAGCCCAAGGACACGGATACATAAGACGTTCCATGTGCTTTTAATTAGAGCGGCTCTCAGAGTTGCTCTAATTAACGCCCCCCCAACACACACGCACGCACGCACGCTCTCTCGCTCTCTTTCCTGGAGCGTGTATATAAACGCCCCTAGTGCCTCAGGAACTTCTGGTGGTTCAATTTTTGAGTCTTTCAGAGTATCCCTGTACACATGCAGTACTACAAGGGGATTTATGTACTGTCAGAGCATAGAGTGTTTCGTCTTATGCATGCTTTCCATTGTCTCTGACCTTTAATTCCAGTGCTGACATACGATTTTAATGTAGAACAGACTTTCATTGCACAGATGCAAGATTATTCATATGCTTGAGAAGGAAGGCTATTTTATTTGCGAGAGATCAAATATTTTTAACCATAATGAACATGCACCCAATCTAGTTGGACTGAATAAGCCGAGCTTTGCTGAGGTGCAAGATTATACCCTCCAGCTGAAACTGATATGTCAGCAAAGTACTCGGCACAGAGACCGTCCTGCCAGCAGAAGGATGCTTTTATCAGCCTAGCTTATGTGTTTTAGGGAAGTGGTAGAAAGAGCTGTGACAACAGGACTGTAGCAGCAGGGGTTTTGTAGTCTAGACAAGCCCTTGAGGATGTCAATGCTCTGTGTTTTTCTGCAGGTTGCCTCCATGAGACAGCGTCGAGTCGACTTCTACCTGGGAGCCATTACAGACATGCTGATAGCTGTTGGTGGAAGAAATGAGAACGGGGCACTTTCTTCAGTGGAGACTTACAGCCCGCAAAAAGACTCGTGGTCTTATATAGCAGGCTTGCCAAGGTAACAGCAATCTGGTCAGAAACCTGTTCTGTAGAGAGAGGGATGCTCTGAGAACCAGTGTGGCCCGGCCATTCAGTCAGGATCCTGGAAATGAGGAGGAGGAATATTCCCAGTTCATGGTATTTGAGCAACCCTCCTTTCTAGGTAGTGTGAAAACAGTCCCACTGATCTCAAGCAGTCTCCACCCTAAGGTAAGAGATCAATTAGGTAGCCTGGACCTGTGTGTTGTATCATTAAGTTAAAAATCAGTTTTCCTTGTTTAGAGGATAGTACCCTGAAGATGAACCCTTACATTGTACTTGCCTCCTGAGCTGACGTCTAGATGTGGATGTCGATCCTTAGTCAATGATGGGCTTCCGCTAGTCTACCTGTGTATCATTTGCAGGTGTTGTGATAGCGCATGAGACTCTCGAGGTTCACCGTCTGAGCAGGATGCCCTGAAACCTGTGACTTCAGCAGCGAGGCTTGCCCTCTTGTTCCTGGGTGACATCACTGATGAGACCCTTCAGACGGTCTTGAAGGGAGACTCATGGTATATTTTTATCCTCTGAGCTGACAAACTGCGGAGACATAGGCAGCTAGCAAGGGCATACATGGCAGAGGCTTCCTTTCTCCAATTCTATTTTGAGCAACCTTGGCTGAGACCAGCAACTGGGCTTTGGCCCAGAGCACTGCAGGGGAGCTAGCTGCGTACACATTCTGATGTACATGGAAGCAGATCTGGCAGCTGAGATTAAAAGTTTCCATATTCCCTAGCGTGCTCTGTATATGGCTGAGTACAGTTGTTTGATTTATTTTTTTTTGTACTCTTCTCTGCTTAATTGGACGAGGAGGGAGGGGATTCTTGTCATGCCTCCCAATGTCAGTATGCTCAGCAATACACTTTAGAAGGCAGATATTTCAATGCGCAGAAGACAGTGAAGAACCTAACTGCCATACAAATCTTTGGAAAATCACTCGTTAGTCTTGTGGATAATGACCCTCTTCATACAGAGTTTTAAGTGTCTTCTGAGGCTTTGGGGATCATCTGGCTGCTCGGTGACCACGACCCAGGTCCTGAGCATGCTTCAACCTCTCCTCCATCAAGTGGGATTAGAAGTCTAGTGGTCTGCACTTTGTCTTGGTGACCTTTCTGCCTCCTTCTCAATGTCAGAAACAGATCACTTCTGTTTGGAAAACTTGTTAGGGGGCTGCCTGGTCATTGGAGCTTGTATGCTTCTGGAATAAAAGATGTCTTCACTTCCCTCCAAGGTATTTTCTTTTTAGGGTAATTGTGGTTCGCTACTTTTTGCCCCCCTCCAAGAATGCTTGGAACGTAGATGTGGACAAAGATAAGGTAGTGGGTTTGCTGTGTCTGTGGTTGAGAGCGAGTCTTCGCAGGGAAAATAATCTGAGTTGCTTTTATGTCCACAGTGGGTCCTGAGTCGGGGCTAAAATGAGTTGGGGCTAAATTATTTTCATCTGCTTTTGCTTGCTACAGGGGTTAGGCCCTAAAACTGTTAACCTCACAGCCGAAAGCTAAAATGGCAGCCCCAAGAAGCATTTGTCTTGAGGTCCTTATTGCAAAAATAGGAGTGATCTCTGCCAGCACGGTCACTGGGTAGGAAGTACGGTGCACTACACTGACTTTTTTACCAGCTCTCTGTGTCTTCATTGTACAGTAATGTGTTAGACTTGAAAGGGCAGGAAAGAGGAAGCTTATCATAGGATCTCTGTAAATTCCTTCATGGCAGTCTGTTTTCTGATAGGCAGGAAGTGTTTTTTAGTTCAAATCTCTGCTGCAACAGAACTTCTAGAAATAATAAATACTTAATGTGGCAAGAGTGGAGGACTAAAGAATGAATGAATTGCTTCTGATGCAGACGCTAAATGCATTTACTTTGTGCATGCGTAGAATATTTTTTTTAGGGAGAAGTGGGAGAGATTGCTAATAATCTGACACTTGCAACCATCTTTGGAGAAGATCCTTGTGTGTTGTTTTTTTTTTTTAATCCACTGTTTGAATTTAATTTTTAAAAACCCAATTATTTAATTATGAAACAGTTGCATGAATGAAAAATGAGGGGAGGTCTTACTGTGTTTCAAACTGATCTATTTTAACAGCTTTCTGTGTCCTGTATCCCACAGTAGGGGGAAGATAGACTGGTAATTTAGTAGCTGTTTTATTTTGGTGTAAGCTACCTCCGTATACCTTCACTTACTGTGGGATAGGCGCAGCCATATGTGCACACAGGTGATATAGGCGTTTTGTCAGTTCACAGGTACTTATTTAGAAGTGAGGAAGACGGGAGTCTTTTACAGTGGTTTGTCTGGCGTAGATGTGGCCTAGATTCTCCAAGAAGAGAAACTGTTTTAAACTCCGCACTCGGGAGTTCTGGGGAGAGCATTTGTGATGTCTCTGGTTACCTCAAACTAGCATAATATCTTCCAGCAAAAATTACAGTTATCATTTGCAGAGGCAGGTGCTTATTCCAGATGGGAGGAGATTCTGCCTCTGTCTGAGCTCCCTTTCTACAAAGGTGAAAGTGCTAGGGACCCGCCAGGTGCCTTGGAGCTGATTCTCTGTGAATGGTGATGATACCTGATCAAGCATCAGAAAGGCCTCTGGTATACAGATACATAGTGGGGTTTTCAAAAGCACTCGGCCCTGGACCAATTTCTATTGAAATTGAGGGGAATTTTGAAAATCCTACCCCCAGCCAGTGAGTTGTACTTACTTTGCTACAGCTCATCTTCACCAATTCAAAATTTATATAGGACAACGGTAGGCAACCCCGGCGCACATGCCAGAACATGGCACATGAAGGCATTGTGCTTGGCATGCACGCGTTGGGATGGACAGTGGGGGAGCTGCAAAGGGACCGATCCTTGTTGTGGCAGTGCAGCCCTGGCTCCTTCCCTGCTGTCCACCTCGAGGCGTGCGTGCACCTGCCTCTGGCAACAAGCTGAGCCAGGGCTCCATGGACTGCGGTGCAGAGGCTTGCAGCCTCCCCACCACCTGCTACAAACAGCGTGGGCTCCATGGTGGGCAGCAGGGACCCGCCCAGAGCCTGGCTAGATTGGGGCAGGCGGCCGGGAGGCTGCAAGCAGCTGCACTGGGGTCCCGGGAGCCCCAGTCAGACTCATTGCTGGCAGACGGTGCACGTGTGCCTCTAGGTGGACGGCAGGGAAGGGGCTGGGGCTGCACTGCCACGAGGATTGGGCCTCTCGCAGCTCCTCTGTCACATACCAACATCTTACAGGTCAAGATTGCAGGGGTTTGGGGCACTCGGCCCAAAAATGTTGCCGACCCCTGATATAGGCTATGTTTTCTGCGAATTTAAATGCCACCTGCTGGAAGCCAAGGGAAACAGACACAGAGAATCCTGCCCTCCATCAGTAATGAGTCATTACTTAGCAAATCTTTCTTTCTTTGTTTAAAATGGCTTATTTTTCTTTCTTGGGAGTCTTGTGATGAACCCAACATTTAATAATAACGGGTGGGAAAATTTATGCTTTTCTCTAGAGCCTTTTTCTGTTGTCGGGGAAGTAGAACAACCCTGTTTTCCAGACAACCCTTGCTAAGACTTATTTAAAACAGAAATAACTTTTTAATCACTTCTTAATCTAAAAAAAAAATAGTAAAGAACCACGAGGTCTCTGTTTGGGTTTCACTCCATAAAGACCAGGAATGTTCATTACTAAACATTGGCGCTACTTGACCAAAGTCATAAAACCTATGGTTTCTTACTGTTGTTTTCCTCTTCTAGGTTTACCTATGGTCATGCTGGCACCGTCTACAAGGAATTTGTTTATATCTCGGGAGGTCATGATTATCAGATCGGTCCCTACCGAAAAAACCTGCTCTGCTATGATTATCGTACGGATGTCTGGGAGGAAAAAAGGCCAATGATCACAGCTCGGGGGTGGCACAGTATGTGCACCTTGGAGGACAGTATCTACTCTATTGGTGGCAGCGATGACAACATTGAAACTATGGCACGCTTTGACATTCTGAGCGTGGAGTCTTACAGCCCGCAGTGCAACCAGTGGACCAGAGTCTCTCCCTTGCTGCAAGCCAACAGTGAGTCTGGAGTGGCCGTTTGGGAAGGCAAGATTTATATTCTGGGAGGCTACAGCTGGGAAGATACAGTCTTCTCCAAAGCTGTCCAGGTGTATGACAAGGAAAAGAACAAGTGGTACAAAGGAACTGACCTTCCCAAAGCAATCGCTGGGGTATCTGCCTGCGTCTGTGCACTGAAACCCAAAACAGAGGACAAAAAGAAAAAGACAAAAACAAAGAAGTATTCAGATCGAGGGAGATGACTACCTGTGGATAACCCCCCTTTGCGGGCAGATTCCAGAGGAACTTTGTATTTAATCATCTCTTTCTAACTTTGATTTTATTTTTTAAGGAAGAAAGAAAAACTGCTGAAACCTTGGAAAATATGCAGATGGACATTTTGGTTAAGGTTCATTTGAAGGACGAAAGTACCTATGGGAGTGGGGTAGCAAAGGAAGTTCTGCTACCCCACTGTATATTTAGATGTAGTTTATTAACTTTTGTGGTTCTTGGCATTTCCACACTTCTAATATTAAAAGTAAAAAGGCTGTACAAAAATTGGCCTAGAAAATTAAGTGGTGGAGAGGTAAAGAGGACTAAGTATTCTCTTCGATGTTACAAAGCAGTACAGAAAAGTATAGAAAGGATTGCTACTGAAAACTGATCCAGATCTTGAAGTTTGGTGTAAATCCTGATTTATTTATATATTTTTCTTCATGAAATATCATTTGCAGTATGTTCTAAATTATTAGTATGAGATTTCTGGCATGAGGTTTACTAGTGAAGGTAGAAGTAAATACCAAGGCAACTTGATGAGTATAACTCTACTGTACCCTTAAATTTGAGCGACTATAATTAAATGACCAAAGAGTGGATGGTCTGATCAGTGATGTAGCAGACATGGCTGTATAGGTGACGTGGGTTCAGGTTTTTTGCTCCACTGGTCTTTTCCCTGGTGCAGTGATCTGTATGGTCCAGGAGATGCAATGTAACCCTAAAGTCACTGTTGGAATTCACAAACCTTGTGCAACAAAAGCCAATAATATCTTTTGGTTTTCTTGGTTTCATCTACTTCTTGGTTGTGTCTTTAAATCTTTCTTTGAACCCGAGTTTGGGGAGAAGCCACATAACTTTGTGCTTGTTTCAAAGCAGTTGGAATGGAAAAACTTCACTGTGGGCTTTGGGGCTCTGTTGTGAACTTGAGACAAAGTGTAAATCTCTCCACAACCCTGTCTCACCAAGGGCAATGGCCTGAAGAGACAAGTTTGCAAGGGGTGGAAACTGTTGCATTCAGCGTGGTTTTTGCTGACCGGTATAAAGGGATCACGTGCAGTATGTCTGTATTGCCATCTCTCTCTCTCACCCAAACGTGTTTTTAATGTGACTGGCAACTCCAAGTGAGCAGACTTTGGTTAGAACAGTAGTAAAGACAACACAACTTGGGTTTTTACTCTTGCGCAAATTGCCTTGTTTTCCTGCTGTTTTAACCCTTTTAAAGTTAAATTTGGGACATGCTTCTTGTGCCCTAAGAAGAGTCCAAGCCAGGACTCCATCTGGGACATGAGATTCAAGTGGAGGAAGAAATGCATTTTAGAATGGCATTGGAAGAAGTGACCTTTTTGCCCACCAAAGTAAAGAGATTTTGATTGAAATGGCATTGTTTCTGGAGGATACAACAAAATGTCTGCTGGAGGCTTCAGGTTCACCAACTGTCTGGCCAGCTTGTGACTGTTCACCCTAACGCAGGTTAAAACCTACCTTGTGTTTATGACAGGTTTGCAAGAAGTTCAACACCAGCAATTGGATCCAGCCCTTGTGATTGCTATAATTATGCCATGCCACGGGTTACAATTTCTACTCCAAACACACAATGATTTTTAGAAAATTTTGGAACCTTTTGTACTTTTTTATAACACATTTTGCTAATACCTAGTCGCTAGTTTGCCATATGATGTTATGTACTCTTTTGAAATTGCAGCTCTGTCGTTATTGTCAGGGACTCATCTTTTGGTGGCTCTTTCAGGTTTTGTGTAGTAAGTTGGGGTGCGATGCAGCTGGTCAAGCGGCATTTGCATTCTCAGTCTTGTTCGGCAGTCAGGGCTATAATTGGGACTATTGTGAGGCCTCTTCACTGGCAGTTCAGCTAGTCAGATGTGGTAATAAATGTTCTTTATTGTCAGTATTGGTGGTGTCAAGAGCCTTGGTTTAAAGTTCTGCTGGGTGCTATTGATGCATTCCCCACCCTTCAATTGCTTTCCAGTCCTCCTCTTTGTGCAACGTAACCATGTATTTCGGATCTGCCTTTTTCCTGCTGTCCCACGTACAACTGATGCCCTGTCTGCTTTATCCTACTCCCGTATATTCAGCTTATTCATGGGAAAACTCTTCTGACTTCCTTTGCACTTTAAAAACGATTCATTATCCACATCACTTGGAACAATTTAGAGATCTCTTTAAGATATATGAAGAGCTCCTTTGCCTAAAAAGGTCGATCTTGTGAGTAGCCAGCATGCAAAAAAGAAACGTAATGCCTAATGACATGAAAGGGTTACAGAAAACCCTTTCAGGGCATGTATCTTAAAAAACTCCTTGGGATATTTTGAGTGTCTTTTTGTTTAAAAAATAATTACTAAATTGAATGAGTTAAAGTTCTTCATGTGTAGTAATGATGGCTGGAATTCTGTTTTGATAAATATTGGTACATTGCATGAAGTAATATTTGGGGGTTTTTCATTCTAGAAAAATATTCTAGAAAAATACTAGAATATTTAACGGATAACAAACTGAGTGAGTAGCAGGTTTACGTATCTGACATCTTGCCTGTGTTAACTCCTTTTTTCCCCTTTTTTGGCAAAGTTTCATGTGTAAATACACCACAAAAATCCTAAGACTCTTCTTTGTCTCTCTTATTGTCTGCGTGTTACTGTATTTTTGCCTGTTTTACTCAAATGTGCTCTTATGTTATGTTCTTGATGCATTTAAAACGTGAAAAAAAAAAAGAATCCAGATTATGTTCAGAATACCAGATTGTATTCCTCCTTGTGTGGTTAGTTCCTCCTTCAGTTGATTTTTCAGATTACTATAAAAAGAAAAAGAGTGTACCTCTTTGTAGCTGTTTTAGAGGTGCATGTGTGCGTGCAAATTTTTTTAACTTTAAACCTGAAGATAGTGGTGGCAGACAGTTCTCCTGTGGTTCAACGTATTCCATGTTAATAGAAGCAAAGTACACGTTTCTGTTCGGCTCATCCATGCACTCTGTAGCTAATATATTAAAAAAAAAACCTACTGGTAGCTCACCATTTCTCAGCAAATATTTGATAATTGAGACAAAAAGCAAAATCCAGCTTACAGTGGATTCCAAAATATTTGGGGGGGGAGTTGGATCAAGTCTTTTGTGGGTTCATAGTACTAAAATCTCACCTGATTGAAGGTATTTACCTTCACTAACCAGAGTGAAGGGTCACCAGAATCATAGCAAATTAGGGTTGGGAGGGACATCCGGAGGTCACATCTAGTCCAACCCCCTGCTCAAAGCAGGACCAGGACCAGCCCCAACCACATCCCAGCCAGGGCCTGGTTGAGCCAGGCCTTAAAAACCTTCAAGGATGGAGACTCCACCACCTCTCTGAGTAACCTGTTCCAGTGCTTCACTACCCTCTTAGTGAGAAAGTTTTGCCTAATATCCAACCTCAACTTCCCTTGCTGTAGCTTCAGACCATTGCTCCTTGTTCTGCCATCTGTCACCACTGCGAACAGTCCAGCTCCATCCTCTTAGGAATACCCCTTAGGGTAGTTAAAGGCTGCTATCATTCACCAGGATATGGGCAAGTTGGTTTTATTATAGAGCATTTTGTGATATCTTATGAATTATTGCCCAAAATAATTTACATCCAACTACTACTACTGCCGCAATAGAGCATAAATGAGAATCAGATCTGCGTTGCACTGGATGCCAGGTTACCAGGGTAATTGTTGGCACATTATTATGCTGATGTCTTAATGTACCAGGGCAGCTACTTATGGAAATGGTCTGATTTAATCTTTCACTCTGTATTAGCAGGCTTACTACTCACTTCAAAGTGAACTGCAAGCACAGCTTCTCCCTACTGAAATATTTTGGTTTTAAGACTCATATCCTGGGAACTTTGCATAAGTGCTCTTCCAGGCATTGTTGCATGTGGTGGTGGTCAATGAATACTTCTCGCCAAATTATCACTTCTAGCCCTTATTCACAGGCACAAGCTAGGGACGGAAATTATACACAGACTGGCGTAAGGGATCAGAAACCAGTTCAAATCTGTCACACAACAGACATTCAGTGTGCATAAACTGCTTTCAAAATGGCTGAAACCAGTTTAAGATAAATCTGAGTGGATGTTGCATGAGACTTAACTGAGTTAGGTTAAATCAGTTTATTGAACTTCTGGTCCAGATCACCTCCAGACTCAAGTTAACGTACAGTCCCCCAGCATCCCAGGATGCTTTGCAACCCCCAACCCCACCCCGCAAACCTCCCCTTGCAAGGTGGGTGGGCTAACCTTGGACCAAGCTGTCTGCTCCAAGGCAAAGTACAGAGAGTCAAAAAGTCTGAGGCTGAATCTATTCAGTCTTTACAGGTTAGTCTAAAATGTAGAGATTAAACTGAGAAGCAAGTGAACAGACATTCACTTTTAATTTGGGAAATGCAGCCACATGCCTGCAATGGCCCAGGCCAGAAGCTGGGGGGTGCTAGAGCATGCCCACCAGCCACTGCCAAAGGGAGGGACTGGAGCTCCAAGGCTTTTTCCCCCTCCCTGCTGGAGAAAAGGGGGCACGGCCAGGCCCCAGCCTGGGGCTAGCACACTGGTGGGAGGGGGTTTAAATCCCACATGGGACCCCAGCCTGAGTCTGCCTGGGTGGGGTGGCAATGCCTGCCAGGCTTCTGCCCCCCCTGCTCGAAGGAAGGGTGGAGGGCAGCCCCTGCCAGGCTGAGGAAGGGGTGGGTGGGGAAAAAGGTAGTGGCATTGAATTCGATGTGATTTGTCTCTACTTCAGTATTCCAGTCTCCCACATTTTACAGGTTCTGCTTTATAATGTAAATGTAGTTCTCTACTTTCTTTAGTCACACTAGCCCAAGTAGTCTGGGATCCTCTCCTGTTCCCTTAGCTCTGGCTCCAGCACATACACGTGAAGATTGTGCCAGGTCTTTGCCAATACCTCCCACCTCTCAGTCTGGTCCTGCAGGGTTGGCCCTGTGTTCCCAGCTGGCAGGGGACCAGTCCTTCCAGCTCTGGTTCCCCAGCCTCTTCCACCTCCCCCATGGCCTGGGGGCACTGAGGGGAATTATGTCCCCACCCCTTATAAACTACTTGCTCCAGTCTCTGCCAGAGGTGGGAAGGGGTGGACCCTGCTGGTCTGCTGGCCCCCTCCTAAGCAGACCCTGGCTGGGGTCCCATTCAGGTGGGAGAGGGGGTTTAAATCCCTCTTTCTCCCCTCTGCCTGAGCCTGTCTGCCCACACCCCCACCCATCTGCTCCAGCAGGAAAAGCCTGGCAGGGGTTGCCACCACCTCCAGGCAGAAACCCAGCTGGGTTTCCTACCTCTACCTTCTTGTCAGCCAGCCACTGTTCCAGCTAGGGAGCGGAGAGGCAGGGTGAACCCTGCTCTGCTCAAATAGCTCAGCCCAGCCCAGGGCTGCAAAGCATCCTGGGATGCTGGTGGACTGTGATTTAACTTGAACCAGGAAGGAGTCTGGGACAGAAGTTTCATAATCTGGTTTGACCTAAATCAGTTAAAGCTGATTGACTTTTATTTAACCAGGTTCATCTTAAACCAGTTTTAGCCATTTTGAAACTGGTTTATGTGCACTAAACTTCTGTTATGTTACAGGTTTAAACCAGTGTCTGATCACTTAAACTGGTTTATGTGTAACTTCTGTCCCTAGCCCAGTGAGCAGGGAGGCATGCTCTAGCGCCACCCCCCCCCCCCGGCTTCTGGCCTGGGCCACTGCATTCTGGAATCAAAAGTGGATGTCTGGTCACTTGCTTATTGGTTCAATCTACACAGCTTAGGCTAACCTGAGAAGATTGAATCAATTCACCCTCAGGCTTTTTGATTGTCTGTACTTAGCCACAAGAAGCAATCTCCAAAACACCAATAGGATGCTTCCACCCATGGGTAAAAGCAAGGGAGATGAGGGCACTGAAGATGCCCTGTCACTGCAACCCCAGGATAGTTAGTATATACTAAGATGATCCTATTTCTCTTTGTGTTAGTTTGTTCCTTGACTTCCAGAAATGGGGGTAGTGAAACTGTGCCTCTCTTCTTTTGAAAAGGGATCTAATTCAAAATTAGATCCCAAATTCAAGTATTGTATTATGCAAACAGACTATCAAAAACTCATTCCCTCCCGTACACACCCTGGTGTTAACATGTTGGTAGCTTTTATAGTGCTAATAAATATGCCTTGAAACACCCCGAGGAAAAATTAAGCAACTGTGTGAACTACTGTTTGTTTTGAAAGGAGGAGAAAGGAGTGAAGGAAAAGGAAGCCTTTCTGTTTGAAGTTGGGTCTGTCTAGGTTGTAAAGAAGTGCAGAGAGGGGTCAGACCATTTTTACTGATGTACTGAAGATTCATGGAAATAATATCAGTGGATCAGTGAGTGATGCCAGGAGAGCCTTGGGCTCAATGTCAAGCAACAAAATAATGAAAGGAATTCAGAGGTGTGGCAGAGACCAAAAGGGTCTTTGAGGGGCTGACAGTCTTAAAAATATGCTACTCCTGCACGTGGCAGAGACTGAACTAAACCTAAGGTAAGAGGAGGAATTAAAACATTTCAAGAACAGGTTAGATGGACACTTGCCTGGGATGGTTTAGTCAGGGATGATCCTGCCTTGAGCCAGGGGGCTGGATTAGATGACTCATAAGGACCCATTGTAGCCCTACTTTCCAATGATCTTACTTCAGCCAAACTAAAAGAATTAGTTAATAGAGAATTAAAATGTAGAATAAAAGTGTCACCAGCTTCCTTAGGAGCTAGAATTGACTTGTCATTAGTTGAAATTGATTTGCTTGTTAACTTGAATTATTCCACATTAAAGTGCCTGGCGTCCATAAGCATTTTTTTCTGTTGTTGCAAATCATTTGGTGTTTCAGCAGACAGGCTTAAACACACTTTGGAAGCGGGTTTACCGAGAGGTGGATGGAGTTTACCCATTCAAAGGTACACGGTGATGCAGTCTCCATCCTGCAACAGGTCTCGCACAGCGCCTAGGTTCTCCCACTCGATGCAGGGGTGAGGCAATCCAGTATGAAATGTCTGAGTACAAGTCTGAGCTCATAATCTGAACTATCAAAATGATACAAGGTGAAAGTGCCTTGATTATAGCGTGACAGTGCAATGCATGTGAACTGTACTTGTAGCCACTGCTGTGGATTATTTAATGCAAGTACACACAACCCACAAGTTGCAAGAAAAGAAAAGAAACATTGAGCAGTACAACAGCTAAGGAGGCAATTATCTTCAACTGCCTTTTATTTTAGGGCTGGTGGTAAGAGAAAAAAAAAACAGGTTTCTTCACAGTTTTCTAATGGCCAAAGTTATTTCTTACAGATTAAACGGATCCAAGATGCTATTTGCAAGCCTTCGCACTGGATGTTGATGAGCTTAACAGACACAGGGCAATGGATTTTTGCATTAACTGTTTCAAACAGATGATAGAATTGGCAAAACCTGAAATCAAAGAGACTTCACAACAAGTGAAAGTCTGTTGTTATGGTTGCCTGAACTATAAGATATTTTTTATGTAATACTCTTGAAAAATAAGATGTCACATTGTCCCCCTGGTGTTACACAAAGATAAAAATGACAAGCTCTGTATGATAACCCCTGGTGAAATGGAGAATTTGTTCGTTTTCATATGATACCTTAACCAATATTCCGTTCTTTCAGAAGGTACTATAATAGGCTTTTAAGCGTAGTAGTAATTTTTCATCCCTTTGTAACAATGTGAAAACAGTTCAGCAGTGTCTTGGTTTTTTGAAGAGA